GCCCCCACAGGAGCCACAGCCCCCCTTGGTGCCCCCACAGGAGCCACAGCTGGAGCAGGAGCAGGCTGGCACGCAGCAGCACACGGGCTTGCAGCAGCACACGGGCACGCAGCAGCTGGACTGGCAGCAGCTGGACTGGCAGCCCCCCTTGGAGCCCCCACAGGAGCCACAGCCCCCCTTGGTGCCCCCACACGAGCCGCAGCTGGAGCAGGAGCAGGCTGGCACGCAGCCGCACACGGGCTTGCAGCAGCACACGGGTTTGCAGCAGCACGCGGGCACGCAGCAGCTGGAGCCGCAGCCCCCACAGCTGGAGCCGTAGCCCCCACAGCCTCCGGAACAGCCACAGCAGCCCATGATTCTGGCGGGTTGAGGGTGGAGTCGGTCAGAGGAGCAGGTTGAGAGAGGAAGGTGTTCAGGTGTGGAGCCTACCTGTGTCAAGAGCCTTTATATACCTGGCCAAAGATCAGGTGTGGTGGGGGCATATGATCCCTTCCTGGTTCCTGTTTGTGCACCTCACCCGGGAAACTTCCTGGAGTGCACTTCCTAGCAATTCCATGTACCTTCTCCTGACTTTGTGCTTTTACTGAACTCACTGTCAGTTACCTCGTGGAATGCCTCGTTAGTAATCAGGGACAGGTGTCCAGTGGGTGCTATCTCCTTTCCGGAGACAGGCAAAGAAGTTCAGAGAACACACGGCACTCAGTGAAAATGAGGTGCCCTTTTCTTAATCTATGAAATTCACAAGGATTAAAAATGAATGGTGGCATTCATTCACTCATGTCAGGCTGTGTGTACAACAGCTGACAATCACGAACCATGTGAATTCCTGAAGAAGGCGAAAGGTGAATTCAGTAATGGGTACCCATGATGTAAGGCACGATGAGGTCTCACAAGCCTCTTTAATGGTGTGCGTGAAAGCTCAGTACACAACACTGTGTTTATTCAGAGGTCATCATTCTGAAGGAGACACAGCAGTACCGGAGCAGATAGGATGGTCAGTCACCACGTGAGACGTAACCACCGTGTGGTGAGATTACGACTATTCCAAGGTCTTCCACTGTGTGTGTTTCGTTTCTTTTTTTTTTTCTACAACCATTAGTATTGCAAGCACTAAAAGTAATATAAACATATAAATGTTACTCATTATATTTTCAAAAGGTGGTGCCCATGTAAGGAAAAAAAAAGCCCCCCAAACCAACTCACTGCTGTTGAGTCAATTCTGACTCATAGCGACCCCTCCTTGGGTTTCCAAGGTGGTATCTCTACAGAAGAGGAGTTAGCAGTCACATGCCTTAGGCACTGCGCCAGAGCTCCCACCCATGTAAGGGAAGGTGTTTTTTTAGGGGAGCTGGGGAGTGAGCTTGTGAATAAGCCATCACCTGCCTGTCACATCAGGGAAACAGGACAGGTGATCAGGTTAATCCCAGGGTCCGGCTCCAGTGGGGACGGGGCTGTCTTAGCTATTCCAGGGCTGAGATAACAGAAGTAGTACAAGTGGGAGCTTTAACAAAGAGAAATGCATTTCCTCCTGGTGAGGCCAGAAGTCTGAATTCAGGGTGCTGGCCCCAGGGGAGACTTTCTTTCCGTGGGCTGCAGACTCAGGGGAAGTGGGCTGCGGACTCAGGGGAAGGCTTTCTCTCCGTGGGCTGCGGGCTCAGGCCCTGTCTGTTCTGCTTCTGCTCCTGGTGATCTTTGTGGGATTCGGCCTCTGTCTTCCTCATCGCTGCTTCTTTTGGTTGCTTGTTTAATCTTGTTTATATCTCAGAGCAGATTGACTTGAAACACACCCTACGTGAATCCTGTCTCATTAGCATAACAAAGAAAATCCATTCCCAGCTGGAATTAAAGCACAGGCATAGAGGCTAGTGTTTACAACACATATATGGCTTGGTGAACACAACTCAATCCATAACACAACAGTGGCCAAACTTGGAAACCTACGAAAGTGAATGTGGGGCGGACCAATGAGATCCCCGCAGCATCCAGCAAACATAAATGTGTGCCCAGAGTCCTGGACCCAGTCACACAGAGGGGCCATGTGTGAAGAGGAGTCCTGGCCAGGGATGTGAGACAGGGCATGGCACGTTCCTCACAACATCTCATCCTGCAACCTGCTCCTCTGACCGACTCCACCCTCAACCCGCCAGAATCAGGGGCTGCTGTGGCTGTTCCGGAGGCTGTGGGGGCTGCGGGTCCAGCCGCTGTGTGCCCGTGCGCTGCTGCGTGCCTTCCTGTCCCTGCTCCAGCTGTGGCTCATCCTGTGGGGGCTACAAGGGGGGCAGTGAATCCTGTGGGGGCTGCAAGGGGGGCTGTGGCTCATGTAGGGGCTGCAAGGGGGGCTGTAGATCCTGTGGGAACTGCTGCTAGGCCAGCTGCAAACCCAGCTGCTGTGTCCCCATTTGCTGCCAGTACAAGATGTGAAGCTCTGGACACAGACCTCTGTGCCTCCAGCCCGTGTGTGGCCCCTTGGTCATGACCAGGGCATGCACCAGATCCCTGAAGAGCAAGCCCTTGTCACTTGCCTCAGGAGAAACATCACCTGAGACTTGGCGCTCAGAGTCCCAGCTCACCAGACGTGATAGAGACTGAGGACCACCTCAGGTGCTTTGATAACTTGGAATCACCACCCACTCACCTCCCAGAAGTCTTCCTCCTTGTCTTCTCACTTCTCATCTGCAGCCTCATTGGGGGGTCTAAGCTCTAAGGCACCCACAGCTGACCCACTGACCTCTGTGCACTAGGATAGAGCTGTTAACACTACAGACCTGCCATTCTCCATCCCTGATGACTCCCCGCCCTCTCCTCTTCCACCTGTAGCACCTGTGACACCTGAGATGTAGGTGGCATAGGTCCGTGGACATGTCAGGGACTTCCCAGGTCCCCAAACCATGTGTCCTGTCCCCTGGGCTTTCCTCCCTAACCCCTTCTCACTCTGATTCTCTGTCCACCATGGTCTGCTCCAGACCCTGAAGAGCCTCCAAATAAAAATCTTCTCCAACCACAAGCCTTGTTCTCAGTGTGAGTTTTTTCTTACTACTTGGTGTAGATGAAGATGCTTCCAAACACTTTGTGAGAGTGGAATCTGGTTAACTTTCACAATATTTACAAATGTTATTCAAGTTACAAAGACACATCTCAGAAATTGTGTAAGGGAATAAATCTGGGTTCTTCACACACACACACACACACACACCATAAAACACCAGTGGAGGATACCACTCGTCACATCATTACAGGTCATAGGAAGATTTGGGAGGTCGCTAAAAGCATGGCAAGTGAGACTTGGTTACATAAGAAGTTACACATCAACACGTGCCCCACAGGCAGTGAGGACAGACACCGCTAAGGTGGCTAGACTCTATGTTTGTATGATATCAGCAGAGACAGTGTCCAAACACAGTCCTTCTGGGCTGAGG